CGATACTTGTTAGGAGGGGAAAAAGTCCTTTTCAGAACCACCTATTCCTTAAAAAGTGAAGAGTATCATTTATATTCTGAAAAGGGGTGACTGGTTCAACTATTGTAAACCAATTGTACAAAAGGTTTGTACAAAGTGTTATGCTTTGTAGCATGAAGCCGAAACATTTGTCCATCTAAATCTTCTTTGAGCGTCTGTGCTCTGTGATGAGGATAAACAGATGAAATGGATGTATTTTCTCCCCTCTAAGTGCTAAAATGTACTGGAAGAGACAGCTATATAAATAGATAATTACAGTACTATGTCATACGTGCTACAAGGATATGTGAATATAGTGAAGTGGAACCCAAAGAAGCGAAGGATTTGTGTGTGTGTGTGTGTGTGTGTGTGTGTGTGTGTGTGTGTGTGTAATTTTTCCCTATTGCTGGCATCTCTTTCAAGAAGCCTCATGAGACAGAGGCAAAACAAACAAGTTCTGAATATGCATCTGGAGGTAGCACAGAGGGGCAAGGGCTTCATTGTTCTGGGATTGAAGACGATGCTGATTACATAAGCACCATTACCTGCCGGTACTGAGCTTTGACTATTTCTAGCACATTGCTAAGAACTGAGGCTTCTCAGTGGCAGTGCCAAGGAAACTGTTGGAGGTTGCCAGTCATTTTAGAGAAACGCCACAGAACACTGCGTGCCAGATGGCTACTGATGAAAGTGATGAAGGTTCCCGCTTGGAAATGAAGTCCAATTCCATATTTGGTCCTTCTTTCCTTCTTTCTCTTTTGAATGCATAAGAGAGTACAAACCCAGCCTTATTCTACTCTTGTCGCACAAAATCCCCATTGTCCTTTCTTCTTTTAAGAATGTGCTGGAGAGATGGAACCAAGTTAAATCCACTTTATCCCAAAGCCTGAGAGGTCCTAGAGCCCTGCCTCTCACTGAGTCAGGCCTTTTCTCTTTTACCTCTTCTTATTCATGACTCCCAGAAACGACTGTCAGTGGAACCCACTCAGGGTTGGCCTGCCAGGGACTCAAGTTTCTGTGAGGTAAGTTTTTCCCATCTCAACATCTCACAGAAGGGAAAAAAAGAAATGCCCAGCTTGAAATGTTTTATAATGGTTCTTCTTGGTAGAAGAAGTTCACCCAGTCTCTGTTGAGGACATTGCGAGCTTTTCTTTCTCTGACCAGTGCATAAGAGGACAATTGCTTCTTCATCACTTCTAACATCCTAAGTGGAGGGGGCTCCACTGAGACAGCAATCCTGGTCTATCTGCCCTTGTTTTCTTACTCTACCTCAGGGAAGTGAAGTGGTATTCAGAAAAATAAACTTAGCCTGTTTCTCCCAGCACCTTGCTTCTTTCACACTAGGAGCTAAGTCACCACTGCTTCTCCATGCCAGCACCTGGGTGGGTGAGTCTGCTTAGTCTGCTAAGCATCAGTTAGCCATCTTGCCGAGACACCTACAACCACTGTCCAAACTGTTTTAACAGAGTAGAGGTGACATTTTGGCACTCTATCTGCTAGAAGGTTCTTTCAAAGACCCCTGGCAGATAAGAAGTAGTGACGTGAACTCCAAAAAATAGTCTTCACTTTTTCAGAGGTGATTTTCATTTGACAGAAAGCAGTGTGTTACTTTCTGTTCTTTGCCCTTGAAGTATAGAAGGCCTTACTAGGAGAAAGGGAAATGGCAGCAGATTTCTCAATCCACCATGAGGATTGATAAGAAAACCCTAAGATAGAGCAGATCAAGTTGGGAAACTCTACTTTTTGATGGCCTTCACTTGACTCTTGTCCTTAAAGATAGGTAAAAAGCATTCTGACATTCAGACATTCTGAGTTCACAACTGTCTTGGGCCTTCTCCTTCCTTCTACCTGCCGTGTTCCCATAACTGTATCTCCAAAAATCCTTCCTAAGCTTCCCAAGAAGTGTGCTCTGGTCTCTGACAGCCAGAATGATGTTACTCTTTAGTTTTCCACTGTGCCTTGTATAAAGGCATTTGAATGAATGAATGAATAAATAAATGAATGAATGAATGAATGAATGAATAATGATAAAAGAAATGGACTCTCCCTTGCTTACCCATCTGTAAAAGATGGAAACTTCTCTGCTCTTCCTCAGGATTACTTTTCTGCCCTAATGAAATGCCTCTGGGGCAGCTGGAGCCCAGAAACTACTCATTTGATAACCTAATAAAAAGTGTGAAGAACACGAAACTTGATTTTCATCACACTGGACTTTGTTCTGCAATGCCTTGGACATTGGGGTTAGCATAAGGTCTGTCATATTTAGGTTTCAAGTATTTTCAATGGAGCCAGACAGCTGGACCGCCCAGCCTGAGACCAGGTCTCTACCGGCACAGGATGGTGAGGGAGAGGGCAGTGTTCCAGGCAATTTGGAGGAAGAGAGACTGAGCTTGGCTAGAAAAGACCTGAGAAAAGCAATTTTGATGCCTGGATAATCGCCCCCGTTGCTTGCAAAGCATGCCAGTGGAAACCTGTCCCAGGGGTTTCCAAGCTTAGAAAGTAAAATGATTGAAGCTCGATCCAGAATGAGGGTAGTGAGGCAGTTAAGCAAGGGGAACAAGTGGGGCCTTTGCCTGGAGCAACTTCTGTCCCATCAATTGAGAGAATTTACTTGCCCTCAAAGGAAGGTTATTTCAGCACCTGGCACCAGAATTCTCAATGTATGAGCTCTACAGTCTCCTTTGATCTGCACTTACTAGTTCCTGGATTATCAGGCAGTAACTAAGGGAAAGCACATGTTGTCTGGCTGCACTTGGCCCATGGGCTGTGATCAGCAATGAGGGCTGCAGATACCACGTAGTCAGCCTGCTTCATGTACAGGCTCACTCATCAGGGCCCCCTTCCAAAGAGTCAACTGAAGAGATCTTAGTCGCCTGAAGTTCAGACTACATCTATACCTATGCTGTGCGTTACTTTTAGCTTCCCGCATCTTTCATCTCCTAGCCCCCATGACAAGAGGCCACCCAAAGCATCAAGGTACTATTTTTTTTTTTGGTTTTGTTTTGTTAGAAGGGGAGAGACTGAGGGTTCCGGCAGTCCTGAATTCAAATCTATGTGTGATTCAGAAAAAAAGTCATTTCATTTCTCAACTTCCTCACCTAAAAAAATGGAAATAGGAAGGCGTAATGTCATAGGTTTGTTATAAGGGCCAAATGAAACATTATCTATCAAGGACCACATCAGCATACTATAGGACTGGCATATTGTAAGTGCAGAATAAGTGATCACTCTCTTCCCCGACCTCTCCCGCAGGCAGGACCTAGAGAGCCATTATAGACCAACGGTCCCCGTTCTGGTGGCATGATCAAGAGAGCCAATTGTTTAATTCCAGGAATTTTGTGAGCCAGATGATGCATGTTGGGAGCTTAACAATAGCCACAGTGGGAGTATTCACAGTGCAGAAATAGGTAGACGCTGTAAATCAGGCTTTCCATCCACCTAGCCAGATATCTGGTTTATCAACATACTACCAGTGGTTGTCAAGGTATGATCCTAAAACATCAGCAATCACATTACCTGGAATCTTTTGGACATGCAAATTATCCAGTCACACCTCAGTCCTAATAAAACCCAAACTCTGGGTGTGGGGCAAAGAAATGTGCTTTAATAACCCCTTCTAGGGACAGTTGTATGTGGCATGTTAAATAACTCGCAGGCAGGTCAGTGTGGCTGGAGCCAAGTAAGCCACACAGAGAGTGGTAAGAGGACAGTGGTAGTGAGGGCTACAGAACACTTTGAAGATTTTTACTGGAGTACCAGTGATAAGGAAACCACCAGAAAGTTCCAAGCAGAACACGTCTTTTAAATCTCACTTTAAAGGACTGTTCTGATTGCTATGTTGAGAACAGATAGTAGGTACCAGGGTAGTAAGAGAAGACAGTAGCTGGTAAGAGAACAGGATGATAGAAATATACATGTTAAGAGGTGGTAGGCTTCCAGCTATATTTTGGAGCCAGAGCCAATAGGTTTGTTGTTGAAAGTTTAGATGTAGAAAGAAAAAGAGAGGAGTCAAGAATGACTCAAAAATTCTTTAGCCTGAGTCACTGGAAAGACAGATTTTCACTGAGATAGAAAAAGAACAAATGAGCTGATGAAAAGCAGCAGGTTGGAGATAAGGAAATCAGTCCATTTTGGACATGATAAGTTTGGGATTCTATTAGACATCAAGAGGAAATGTCAAAGAGGCCATTAGAACTCATCTGTAGCTTGGGGGAGGAGTTGGGCTGAAGACAGCTTTGGAAGTCATCAGCTTCCAGACAGTACTTGCTGAGTTGGTGTAAAATAGTGAATGGAGATGGAAGAAGTGGGTCCTGACCTTAGGAAGTGTAGAGTCTGGATGATGTGAGGGAAGCAGCAAAGGACACAGAGAAAAAAAGTCAGTGAATATTATTAGTTCAATACAAATTATGGATGCCTTCAGAGAGTTGAAGTAATACACTGCAGGGGTGCCTGGGTGGCTGAGTCAGTTGGGCGTCCAACTTAGGCTCAGGTCATGATCTTGTGGTTCATGGGTTTGAGCCCCACATCGGGCTCTGTGCTGACAGCTCGCAGCCCTGCAGCCTGCTTCAGATTCTGTGTCTGTCTCTCTCTACCCCTACCCTACTCATGCTCTGTCTGTCTCTCTAAAAAATAAACAGAAAGAAAGAAAGAAAGAAAGAAAGAAAGAAAGAAAGAAAGAAAGAAAGAAAGAAAGAAGAAAGAAAGAAAGAAAGAAGAGAGAAAGAACGAGAAAGAAAAAAGAGAAAGAAAGAAATAAAGAAAGAGAAAGAAAGAAAGAAAGAAAGAGAGAGAGAGAAAGAAAGAAAGAAGAAAGAAAGAAAGAAAGAAAGAAAGAAAGAAAGAAAGAAAGAAAGAAAGAAAGAAAGAAAGAAAGACGGACAGACAAGACAAGACTGCAAGTAGCTATACAACTTCAGTTGATGTTTCCCAGGGCCTCCTAAGTCCTTTCTTAGCCATCAGTGAGTAACAAAGTCTTTACTTACAGCCTTGTAAGTTCAGGCAGTGTTGAGTTGCATGTGAAGGGTGGCCCACTAAGCTCGCCTTCTCTTCCTTCACCCACTAAGATCCTTCCGGACTTACTTCTCCCTAGGGAGTAGAAGAGTTGTTACCACAAGCTAACCACAGCTGGCAGCCAGCTCAACACACCAGTCTGAAACCACACCTGCGTTTGTGAATGTTTTTGCTTTATCAAAAGGAACATGTAATCATCTTAAAAATGTAATTCTTCGTCTTTAAAATAAGCTGGAACAGTCAAACCTTCTTGATCTCACAGCGCTTTTACAAGGACAGTTTAATCAATTACTTTTAAGCTTTTAAAAGTCTCTGACTCATTTGAGCAAGTGGGGAAAAAAAGACAAAACATCAGTATCTCGCTGGAAAAATACTGTGGTTAATGGTACTGAAACAAAAATAACACTCAGATAAAGGCACCGTGTTCCCCAAACCAAGCGTATGCCTCATCTTTTTCTAAAGCAATCTTTCTGCACTGGGGACTTCATGCGTCGTAAATGTTTGCAACCTGCACGATATGCCCTTGGACTGGCTCCTCTCTCTGATCATTTGTTTCTTCCCGGCTAAAGTGAGGATAATGATACCTATGCAATAATGTGTGTGTGGGAGGCACCTAACACAATGCTGGATACTCAAGGCTCCCTTCCACTGTCCTGGAAACAAACATGGCCCCAAGTAGCTGTAATGACCACTTCATACTTTCAAGAACCGCGGTTGACAGTGCTTGCAAGAGAAGATGTACTTGGGAGGGTTTTCACCCAAGTGGAATATTCTGACTCAGTTGTTTATTTGCAGAGAATATTAGGGACACAGCCTCATCAAAACTCCTATGGACAAAATGTAGAAATGACTTTTTAAAAAGTTACAAAGTAACATGCAAAGCAGATATCATTGACCTTCTATCCCATCCATGACTTTCACCATGACTCTGAAGCTCTTCCTCAAGAGATGGATTAAGGTAGCTATTTCCCACATTATTTGAGGTTTTCTAAACTGAAAATTTAGTGCTTAGCTTTGTAACCTAGTCCAAACGTACAGGTCAAAAAGTATTATACATTTGTGCAAACCTATATGAACGCACAACACCAAGAGTGAACCCTCATGTAAACCATGGACTTTGGGTGAAAATTGGTGCCAGTGTTCATCAATTATAACAAATATATCAGGCTGTAGGGGACGCTGATAGTGGGGGAGGCTGTTGGCTGTGTGAGGCAGGGTACATATGAGAAACCTCCGTACCTTCCTCTTAATTTTGCTGTGAACCTAAAACTGAGCTAACAAATAAAATCCACCTAAAGATTTTAAAAGCAAAACAAATTATATTCAGAAACATTATTTTAAAAAAAAAGTCACCTTGAAGAAACATGTACCCATCTTTGTGGTCAGTAGGAGGCTCAATGATAGAAGGAAAGAGTTCTCAAATATGGAGCCAAACTTAAGGAAGCTGTCTTGCTCAAGGTAGAAAGCCAATGAAATAATATCCCCAGGCATGAAGGTCTGAGAGGAGCTGACTGAGCCTCCCATACACAGATAAAATTTGGTACGTGAATCACGTTAAATGCAGTTTCTCCAAGTAGCCAACTCCCCCATGTGTTAGACTTCCCCAAGGAAAACCTTCCATCTTACTTTACACTACCTCCTTCTAGAAACTTCATTAAAAATAAATAACCTAGAAAACAACAAGCAATAGGGCAATTATGGTCACTGTCTTCTGTGAGAACATATCCAAGGCAACCCTCATTTTACCAGCTCTGAAGGAAATTCACAGTTGTTTCTTGAACACCCTCTTGTTCCTGAAGCTCTCCTACCTTAGCTTCTGTGACAATGTTCTTCTGGAGCTCCCCCTGCTTTTCTGAAAGGTCCTTTTCTGTTTCCCCAGTGAGTTCCTCTGCCTCCAGCTGCCTCTAAAAGGTAAGGGCTATTCTGCTTTTCTCATGCTACACATGCTCACTCTTGGATTCCCTTTCTAGGCACAAAGAGGCACCTGGGTACCACATCTGTCTGTGCTGGGGTTTCAGGAGATGGTGCTGGACCCTGGGACCAGAAAGACCTGGCTTGAAACTTTGAAGCAAAGGGGTAGCAGAGTTGAATGGGGGACCTGTGCCTGCACTACCAGCTATAAAGAAAATTAAGAGCCAATTTTTCTGTTGTTCTGACTTCATTTACCACTTCTTTGGTGAGGAATCCTCAGACCTCTATCTCCAGCACAATATTTCTCACAAGCCTTACAACCTTGTATCTCCACCTGAATATCCTTCAGGGAACTCCAACCAAAAACATCTAAAATCCCATTATTCACCTTCTAATTTCAAATCAACTTCTCATTGTTTTGGGGGTTTTTTTTGCACTTTTTTGGGGACCACCATTTACCTAGTTATCCAATGTAGAAACCTATTCCCAATCTCCCCCACTCTCATGCCCTAAATCCAATCAGAAATCTTATAAATGCTGCATCCAAAATGTTTTGTGGGTCCATCACATCTTTCCAACACCAAGTAAAAGCAGCATGAAGTTCTATAAGCTGTGCTGATCTGGCCCCAGGCCAGCTCTAGTGATTAAATCCAGGATACAGAGGACGTGACGGTGTCCTTTAAGGAGAGCTCAACGGACACATCACCCTTCTGGCCGCACACATTTTTTTTCTTTCAGTCATTAGTTTCTACCCCTGTAGTAAATTGCCAGGCAGTTTTAATTTTCCCTGACATCTTGTATTCTTCTTACCCTCCCAATTTCCCTTTTGGCATGTAATCGTCTCTTGAGAATCCTAGGATTTGGGTCTTTGCTAGGCCAATGCCATCATCATCTATGAGCTATGGTGAAGGGGTCTCCTGAGAAGCAAAATGATACTGCGGCTCCAGGACTGTGACAAGTTGTACTTGCAGAGGTTTCCAACACCAAGGGCAGATATGGCCTTGGGCCCTCTGTCTCTTGGGAGGACAGGACCACAGAAGAGATGTGCATATAAACTAGGGCAAACACTGGAACAGGTTATTAGGCATTTCCTAAATTGATTAAGGAAGGACCTAGGAGTCCAGTTTCCATTTGAGTTCTCCAAAGAAATAAAAAGATGTCGAATATAAGGATAGTCAGGGGTTGGGAAAAAGGAAGGCTACAGCGTAAGTACATCTCCATCCCAATCAACAGAAATAAAATCTAGAAAGAATTGTCAACTCTCATGAAGCTGAGGCATAATCTCATGAATCATTCTATGTATTTTTAATGAGAATCTACTCTGGCTAGGCAATAGGATAGATGGATAGAGCTGCAAATAAGATAACCATGATTGCTGTCATCAACAGGTTTACAGCATAAAGGTAGCTAAAAATAAGGAAACAAACACAAAGCATTGTCATTAGAAATGTAATAAGTGAGATGTAGGGGAAGTGAGAAGGAGATTATATGTGGACATATAAAATGGGTACAGAAGTGGATTTAGAAGAGAATGAAGAAAATCTTGCTAAAGGAAATGATCTCTAAGTTGAAACCAGAAGGTGCTTAACAGTTAATCATGGTGCAGCAAGAGCAATATGGATGGGGGTGAAAGGCTCTGGAAGAAGGGAACAGTATGAGCAAAGGCCCAGAGATGAGAAACAGCTTGGTTCAGCCTCCAAAAGAAGTTCAAACTGGCTGCTGTAAAATTCAGACACAACAAAATGAGACAGGAGACCAGACAAACAAGGTTTGGGCTTTGATGTCTCTTATTAGCCACATGAAGAAATTTCGACTTTGTCATGTTTTGTGTCAGAGAAATATCCCTCTTCAGTGGGGAGAATGGATTACAGTGGAGAAGGGTTATTTATTAGGAGGTTTACTACAGAAATTTGGAGGAGAAATCATGATGACTTCCATTAGGGGAATAACAACAAGGATGTAAGTGAGTCGCTATGTTTAAAAGATATTTAGGAGCTGAAATCTAAGAATTGATGAGTACATGTGAAAGCTGAAAAGAGAAATGAAGGGTGACTCCAAACATCTGTGCTTAGCAATTTGTCGGGAGGGAATCATATCTGCTACGATAGGAAACTAGAGAGAAAAGAAAATTTAGGGAATGAGAAGAAGAAGAAGAAGAAGAAGAAGAAGAAGAAGAAGAAGAAGAAG